TATTCAACCCTTAGGGTTTAGGGTTTAGGGTTTAGGGGTTTAGGGTTTAGGGTTTAGGGTTTAGGTTTAGGGTTTAGGGTTTAGGGTTTAGGGTTTAGGGTTTAGGGTTTAGGGTTTAGGGTTTAGGGAACCCTGAGGTAACCCTTCAAGGTGCCCGTACAGCCCACCCAGAGCATGGCTTCGAGCCCGCGAGGATGCGGGGTTGGAGCGCCTCACCACGCGCCTCTACCTTGCCAGCCCGAAATCCGGAGGCAGGGCGCAGGGTTTGGGGTTCAGGCTTTGAGGTTTCGGGTGTAGGGTTTCGGGTTGAGGTATTCCTGGCATGGAAGAGCGACTAAGTACGTTGTAGGATTACCGTCTGGCACCTTTTTGTTTTAAGGGATGTACACAGTTGCTGCAAATTACTTCAATTTGTTGTGCTTGTGGTCACGCACTGTTGTTCGACAGGAGACCGGTGAGGTTTCCCCCAGAGAGCAAGGTAACAGCTCCAGACTGTTGGAGTTCAACAAACACACACGAACATGGCGACGGGGTATAAATCGCAGTACTGCGGGTGTCCCAGGTCTTTCGCTGTATACACCTGTCAATCTACCTGGGTTGGATCACGATATTTGCTGGGTCTGGGAGGGCTGCCTGGGATAGTTTTGAAAGAGCAGCAGATCGACTGACCCATAGACCGAGAGATAGAGATCTAGATAGAGATACAGACACAGATATAGGTAGAGGCGGAGGCAGACATAGAAGTGATAGAAATAGAGATATGGATAGACGCTAGAGATATGGATAGATGAATGGATTTATAGATGGATAGACAGATACATACACAGGGTAGGTCGGTGGAAAGATGGATAGACAGATAGACAGATGTGTAGATGGATGGATGGATGGATAGATAGGTAGGTAGACAGATAGATAGATAGATAGATAGATAGATTGAGTGCTTGATTGGTTGTTTGTCTGGTTGGTTGGTTGATCGATTGTTTGTTTGTTTGTTTGTTTGGTTGGTTGGTTGGTTGATTGATCGATAGGTTGATTGATTGATTGATTGATTGATTGATTGATTGATTGATTGATTGGTTCATTGATTCATTGATTCATTGATTCATTGGTTCATTGAATTGATTGATTGATTGATCGCTTGACTGGTTGACTGACTGATTGGTTGAAAGATTGGTTGGTTGATTGACTGGTTGGATGATAGGTTGATAGGTTGATAGATTGATCGATAGGTAGGCAGGTAGGTAGGTAGGTAGGTAGGTAGGTAGGTAGGTAGGTAGGTAGGTAGGCTGGTAGGTAGGTGGGTGGGTAGATAGGCAGGTAGGTAGAATAGACGTATCCATATATGTAACTGATCCAAAGCCAAACGGGTTCAGGCTCTACCAGCAGAGGAGGTCCCTGGTTAGGCGCAGAGCTTCGTCACATGGGTTTTGACAAGGCAGAGGCTTCTCAGACAGGGGTCACGCTGTGGTTCAGGCTGCGACCAGTATACGACCTTCCCATAGGCTCCATAGTAGTTCCGTTTTGTGGTTTATGTTTGGGATTCTATACGGTAATCTCCAAAAAAAACTACTATGGAGCCTATGGGTTAGCAAAAGATCAGTTTAACAAACCTTGGAAAAGCGCAACCCGAAACCCTAAACCCGAAACCCTAAACCCGAAACCCGAAACCCTAAGCCCGAAACCCGAAACCCTAAACCCTAAGCCCTAAACCCGAAAGCGCCTGTAAGAGCCCCAAGCCTGCTTGGAGGTTCATGGGTAGTAAGTAGGGTTATAAGTCCCCTAATATGGGTTATAAGTATAGTTACCCTACAGATAACCCCATTTATAAACCCTCAACCCTAAACCCTACACCCTAAAGCCTGAACCCTAAACCCTAAACCCGAAAGCGCCTATAAGAGCCCCCAAGCCTGGGGAGGAGTCTCGGCTTCGGTTACTGGCACACGTCGGCCAGTAACCTTGCTGAGTGCTCAGGCGCGATTTCGGCACAGCTTTTAACAACTCCCGGTTGGGGGGCCGACTTCAAGACGGGATTTGGGGATAGGTAGGTATATCATGGTATATTGTAGGTTTAGTATATATTCTGACATATGTTTTGATGTAGGGTTTGGGAGGTCAGGGTTAAGACTTTGGCGTGTGCCTTTCAACAAGTCGGGCTTGGGGTTTGGAATTTTCATGCGCAGGATCTAGCTAGCTTACGTCTTTAGGTTTTAGGGTTCGGAGCTGTGTGGTGCCATGGGCGCTTAGGGTCCTGGGTTGTTTACTTAGGGGGGGATCGGGACTTGGTAAGTAGGGTGACCTTGCGACGTGCAAGAATCAGGAAACAGGACTCATGAAAAAGGCCCTGTCATAGTAGGATGCCTTGAAGACTGTAGATCATTCAAGGAGTCGTGGGAATGGGCTACTTTCTTGCTGCCTTACTTACTAAGTGCACTGCTCCTCCGAAACCGCAATCTCTAAGCCACAGCCCAAAATTGTATCAACTATGTACTGTTGTTATAATATGATGCCTATACGCAATCATACTACTGACGGTTCGAAGTTTCCCAAAGCCTGTTTAGCACTTCATCATTTCGGCAGTACGGCCTCGCAGGTTCGACTTCCGGGCTGCAGCTGCTGCTGCTACTAGTACCAATATATTAGGGTTTAGGGTTTAGGGTTTAGGGTTTAGGGTTACTACTACTACGACGACGACTTCTACTACTAGCCCTACCAAGACCCTGCCACGACTACGACGACGACTCCTGCTGAGAGCAGACATACAGCCGTGAAAGCCCTGACAACCTCTAAGCGCCAAACCGTGGCCACTGAAGCCTAAACCCTGATTCGATCCTAAACGCCCTGAGCCTTGGAGGCTATGCCCTCTAAACCTTCGACCCTGCACGCCACGCCGACCCTCAAACCTGGAACCCTGCACCGCAAGAGAACCTCGGGAATCACCATTCGGCGCAGGTGCACGCGCTGGGAAGCATTTGGACATCGAGAGCGGCGACGTTCTTCTCGTAGTTTAGAGTTTATAGGTTTGATTGAACTAGAGTTACTCCAAACCCTAAACTCAAACTTAACCCTAAAGCCTTCATTGCACAATTTTACACATGTGTTACCCATAGGCTCCATAGTCCCGAAAAGGAACTGCCATGGAGCCTATGGGTAACTTACCCTAAACCCTGAACCCCTAAACCCCAAAACCCTAAACCCCTAAACCCTAAACCTCTAAACCCAAAACCCTAAACCCCTAAACCCTAAACCCCTAAACCCCAAAACCCAGAACCCTTCAAGCCTGAACCCCTTTCTAACCCAGCACACTCATAGTCTTGAGCTGCGCCTCGAGGCGCAGCGATGAGTCCAGGGCTGCCAGACTAACAAAGGGTTTGGGTTTAGGGTTTAGGGTTTAGGGTTTAGGGTTTAGGGTTTAGGGTTTAGAGAAACTCGGTGTAAGCCGAGCATCCTCTGGCCTGCGACGAATGTCCAAAGGCCCTTCTGACACAAAGGTCCGTGTGTTTAAAAAAAGACGCCAAACCCCAAACCCTTCAACCGCTAAACGAGCCGTTTTAGGATCCGAAGATGGAGGCCAGGAAAACGGGCTCTGCCCGGGGCCATAGAAGGGTAGGACATGTTCTTCAGGGTTCAGCGGGACATGCTGCGTGAGAGGGTCAATTCGAAAGGGTTTGCAGGGCTCAGTATAGGCTTTTACGGTTTCCTTGACTTCTGAGTAACCGCCCCACCCCCCTGATGCTGCATGTAGGAATTCGATAATCAGTTTGCTTGACATGCCAATGATAGGCTATAATTCCAAGAAGATCTCCCAAAGGCCTCGTCTCATTGTCTAGTTCTACCCTTGCAGCTCGATTTGCAAGGGGGTCCCTTAAACTCTTGGAGTTTAAGGTTAAGGGTTTAGGAACAGCAGCAAGAAGAGCACACCACATCTACCCTTGGTGTAGGGTCAAGCGTGTAGCGTTCAGCCGAGAGTGATGAGACCTCGATGTGATGGCTCATGTACATAGTGGGCACTTGGGATTCAACGCAATCCGCATGGCCCAGTGCGAAGAAAAGTGTTCATGAATAAGGCAACCCTTGCAGCTTTGAGTCGTAAATTGACAAAAAAATCTCCGAGTTAGATAGCTGCAGGGCAACATTCGGCTCCTGCAAAGCAGACTACATACAGTCCCTGTTGCTGCCGAACTAGAAGCATGTTTCAGTTTTCTGGATGGAACATCCTAAACCCTAAACCCTAAACCCCTAAACCCCACTCCGAAACTGCACAGACACTTGAGTTCAGTGCCCACGTGGGACTCGTGGCTATGTTCTTTTGGGGTTTTGAGCAGTACGTGTCCGATCATCTAAAATCTCGTCGTGTGCCT